ACTTACACTAAACTATATCCTGATTGGGTAGATCAAGCATATCCATGACTTAGAGGGTATAAGACGATGAACTTCAAACTTTCCCATATTACATGTTCAAAACATAAATGTCTCTTCATTCTTTGCATTATTTTCCCCCTCCAATGTAACTTATAAAAGCTATATGACAGCAACATAGTATTATTGTCCACCATACGATGCTTTATAGTGAAGCACGACTCAATGAGAATTGTCAATCACGTTACTCATTCACAATAATACTAAAATTTGACAAATAAATGCCAAGTCGATCTTAAGATCTCCAATGCTCATACCGCTAATTTCGAGGTCCTTTATCAATAATTCCCAACTCACTATGTTTCCTTGGAAATGGCCTCTCCGAAGCTCTGAATGCATATTTGAAGTCCTAGAAGGATCTCTATAGATGTTTGAGACAACGACAAAAGGACATCGAAGTAAGTTGGGGATTGCCTAAAAAGATAAGATTCAAATTCAAAAACCCTTTTCTTGAAGTAAAACTGTAACAAGGGCGTTTGCATTTAATTGAGGGCATTTGTATGTATGTGAATACGAGTCAGTAGACTTGGCTGGACATAGAGAGACATTAAGGGCTAATGTTATAACAATCAAGGGGGACGATTGAGGGCCTCTGTCAGCTGTAGTTACATGTATCTGTCCACACGGGCTGCAACCTTTTATAGTCGAGCTTGACTGTTGAAGCTGGTTGTGCAAGGCCATACCCCTATTATGCGAATCTCGGGAAACAGAAGCGAGCGTTCATAAAGCACGACTTCATAACCAATGAAAGAAAGGCATATAAGTTGGTGAATAAAACGTGAACAGATAACATAATCGGTTACAATGACTGTCACATGTCACTTACTAAAAAGATTTATTTACCCCCAATACCTAATAAGAAATCTATAAATAAGCGTGATTGGGATGAATGCTATGTTGAATTTTAAAGCCAGTTGTTTGGAAAGTGTGAAAAAATTATAGGAGGATTGTTCGGTGCCTCAACCATCATGTACTTTGAAATATGAAGAGGACACGTGAAGTTATAGTAGGCCCAGAGTTCTTACATTCTTAATGCCCCTCAAAAGTAGGTAAATAGATCTGAAACATATAAAATGCATTTAATCCTGCTGTGGTCCAAGTTATTATTACGAAAATCAATCGGCAAATACAACCAACTATCAAGGAAGCATATATATCCAGAAGCCTACTGCCTACAAACCTATCAAGCCTCATCTTTCTATTTGGGAGCCCACTATCAAAAACCCAATCGTCTCGTAAACCAAATCCTCCGTGTGGATTGCAAAAGAACTTGGATATATGGCCCAAGTTGAGAAAGTAAGTGACAAGACAAAGCCCAAGCCCAAGCTCAAGTCCACATTGATATTGAATACATTCATAGCTAATTGGGCCCTACTTGGCCCACCATTCTAGGCCAGTGATACATTGGAAACCAAGTCACAAATAGAATCTCCCCATGCTAAGCGCCAAACATATAATGATTTATTCCTAGTATTAGGCCAATTGAAAACAGGGAAAAATTCAGAGGTCAGGGTACTTACAAAAATACCCTTAAAATTAGGGATGTTTTGAAAAATCAT